GCACAGGAGCCGCAGCTTTCGAAGACGATCGTAAAACGTCCCGCGAATTCCTCGATGTTTCCTTATCCCCACCTAAGGGATACCTTCGACTTCTAGTTCTCATTCTGCTGTTAGAATGAGAAAGTTTAATAATCGTATCATAGAAAAGTTTGAATCATTCTATAGTAAAAAAAAAGAAAATGGAAAACGAAATCAAAGTTCAAACACTACTATACGTTTATAAACGTCAGAGATTCCATCGTGGAACAATAAAATGAGATAATATATAATTTCCATAAAACTGTCTTCATTCTTCATCATTAAAACGCTGTAAAATAATGGCTAGAGTCGCAAATGATTTTCAAAGCAATGTGCAATAATTAAACGAGCACAGTAGCCGTCGATACGTAAGCGTTCATAATGTTCGAATAAGGTTTGCTTACGTCGCCACGGCCTCGTCCAGAGAGCAAGGACATTCATTGGCCACAATTCATCTGTCGCGCAATGCTCAACCAATCGTAAACCGGACTGGCGGCGCTTTACTTCCGTCGCGTCGGGTCGCGTCGCGTCGCGTCGCGTCGTGAAGCCACGCGTACTTACGTCCATCCGCGTGTGCTGATCTTTGCGTATAGTGCACAGGTATTACGCGTGCATTGTGCATACAGCGTGGGTCATTGTAGGTGATACAACCAGGCAAGCGATTACATTAGGTATTCTTTTAGGTTCTCTAAAGGGTGCGTAAATTACATCCAAGTTAACATATTACGTATAGAAGTAATTATCCTCAATAAGGATTTTTAAATATCTTATAAATAATGATCAGAATAATGAAAGACTCCTTTAGACTTGTAGCTCCTGCTTTTCTATTCTTTCATTATTCCTAAGTGTACACATCACCTGAATCATAACAAGAATAACGAACAATTCTATCTTGTCTGATTAGTACCATAAATTCCAACGGCAACAGATGAAACGTTCGTCATGGTCCACGGTTCGATCTGGCTGGAAAACAACGGTCTCTGCATCACCGACACGACCTGGTTGCGAACGAGAAGACATTTTCTCGATTCGTTTCTCTTTTTTTTCGAAAACGTGTCTCGATACATGTCTCGCGTTATGGACACCCGGGATTTTCACGCGGTTGGAACAACAAGTTCCAAGTTCTTCTCCTTTTCACTCAGTCTATCTAATTGTAAGTAGACAGCAGCAACAATGAAGGTAGAAAAGAAGTTAGTTCCATGGCGACGAGGAGTAGGAGGACGTGGAAGAAGAAATTTTCACCGCACCTTCACGGAGAAAACGACTTCGCTTAGAATTGCTTCGCCGACGGTTGTGGTGATACGCTCCTCTTTCAGAGCCTCGAGCATTACTCTCCCCTCGGGCTACCTACGGAATGTCGCGCAAAATTCGCGAAATTCAACGATCTGTTGGCGAAGCAACGATCAACGAACGTTGCGTCGTTCGGAAGGACGTCGTTTCGAGATCGAAGCGTGCCGATGGTGCGGCCCGTTTAACCGATACCGAATAAAAATGTTCCCGATGAATTTTCTTCGGCTGCTTGTCGTATGGAAAGTGGCGCGCGGTGTCCGTGCGCCGCGCCGTTGTCTGCTGACGCTCGTTGCTGGCTCGCCGAAGAGACCCGAGGCCTTCGCTCGTTCTTGCGCTGCTTGCCGAATTGAGGCTGACAGTCAGTGGCGGGTTTCGAAGCTAACGGCAGACTCCCTCGTACTCCGGGGCCCCGGTGTCTGCGTTCCCCGTTTCACAACCTCCAACCAGAGTTGGCCATATTTACGAATAACGTACTTATTACATTCGTTATTCATGAACAACGAATCATTTTTTATTCGAATAAAATTAAATTATTAAATTAAATATTTCAATTCAAAATTTTCCAATTACTTTTATTGTCTTTAAATACAGGCGTAATTTTATTATATAAATATATTTTGAAAGATGTAGCTAAAATTGTAGCTAAAAAGTTCTTGTCAATTTTGATACGTTATAATAAATGTAAAATTAGAACGTGGTATAAAATTAGATGTTTTTAGTAATGATTTTATGTCGTTGGAAACGTATACTTTCGGCCGCACAGCTTAACAAACTTGCTGATAAACGATATGAGAACTGCGGGCTTCGCAAAATAGTTCCGAGTAATCTCTGTCGAATGGGCCAAGTAATTTTGAGTTTTTGCGCCGCGCCGCCGCCGCCGCCGGTTCGAATTTTTCGAACCGTTCTCCTCTAACTTTCATCGAGCGAGGCCAGTGCGGCGCGCACTTTCTCGCGCAAAACGATTTTTTTTCTTTTTCAGATTAGTATTAATACAAACAATTTTACGTTTAAAACATATTTGCAATATTAACATTTCAATTTATTGACACAAATAAATATAATTAATGTTTCAAACAAATAATAATAATAATCTCTTTGTGTTCATACAATGCAGATATGTTTACTTGGGTATTAATAAAAAAATATTATTCTTTATAATATGTACATTTAAAAGATTCCAATCTACCGCGTTTACCCTTCTTTGGTGAGGTTCCGCGGGCACGTGGTCTCGCTACTTCCTTTGCCCTACGCCCTCTAACCAGGCCGGTTATTTGTACATTTTTAGTGATACCCATGCATCATAAATCAACGTATAAATCATTTTGTATAAAAGCTTTGATTACATTTCGAAATCATGCATTTAAACAATGGATTTCCTTTCTATGAGCAACATGAATGGCATAAACAATCCGAGGATATTCAATATCAATTATACAGTTAATTTATGTGGCGTGAATAGAACGCACCCTTGCTCCCGTACGAAATCTACCACCGTTCGAATGTCAACAATATGCTGTTCGCTTTTCCATGTACAATGGCGTTTAAAAATAATTTATCGAATTCGAAATCCCATCGGTCGAGTAGTAAATCATCGAAACGCGGGACTATTTTAATTTTCCCGTATACATATTGATAGATATATCAAAACAATTTAACTAACGCTCTAATGGATTCGCATTGTCGCTGGGCGGGTGACAAAAAGAAAAAAAAAACGAAATTATTCGATCAAACATATAAATCATCCCCACAGAAAGCATTAAAATTCAGAAAACTCTCATAACATGATTTTACACGGGTAAAAAATACACTGACTTCGCTAGCGAACAAAAATAAAGTCTTGAAACTTTCTTCGCGAACATTAAAGATACCCGCCACGTTCCCGTTATTACAATTTTACAGACTGAGGAATAGTCCAGGATCCTCTTACTTTATTACATTACATTACATTACATTACATTCAGAACGTTTTTCTTCCATGAAAATTAGAAAATATTGACATACGTACGTTTACCGTCAGTTGTATGTACAGCGCAAATCCTTGTGCATAACGTGTAGGTTATATAATGATCGGCCAGAACATAAAATTTTGAATACATTTTCCAATATATGTATACAGGAATATAAAAGTAGGTATTCCACTAGAGTTTCTTATAAGAATGATAGAATGAGTATCTGAATTTCGTTGCGCGAGTAAAATGTAAATTTCCTATAAAGAAATCTTGATAAGCGGTTGGTAGATAGAGGCGAAAACGAAGAAAGGGGCCCGGGGTACCGGTATTACGGTCCTGCGTGCCGTGCCGTCGTGCTAGAGTGCAGGTGGGCCGAGGTTCGACGGAAACGGCCGAGCGCGCACTCGGGGGAAAACCTAGCGGCGGCACTCGACGAGTACTGTTGTCAGAGTATTCAGTAATGCTTTGCATGGCCAACCAGTCGCTAGTGGGCTTGTCGGTGAGAGTCGTGTCGTTCACTCAAAGTGATCGTGTGGTGTTACCCGACGAGCTAGTCAGGCGGTATTCTGTAACGCGAGGTACAAGCAAACGGCGACGAATCAATCCGCTATTGTGAGTGTATTTCGTGAGACTGTGAAAGAGAAAACGAACAAAGCGTTTCACGGAGCGTACACGGACGGTGGAGCTTCGATTTCACGTACTGTTTCTTCACTGAAAACAAAAAACCATTGCGCTACACTGTGTATGGTACACGAGCGATCCAAGATGCTGTCGTCAGTGCCAGCGAAATAATAATGTGGTGCGACGTTGGTCAGGTGAGTGAAGTGCTACGTTAGTTTTTTTTCTTCACACTTTTTTTTCTCCCCCTTTCAAAAACTGTGTTCGACCTGTGCTCCGACTTGCCTCTAACGTTCCTGTACGGCCAGCCAAGAGAGCGTTACGTGAACACGACACCACAGCTCCGAAGCGGTTGTATGTCGTTCTTATGTTCGGTGTTTCGTGCTGGGATTTCACCCTTAATTGTTTTCGATATTTTTCAACCATTAAACCGTGTACATATGTCGTTCGTGCATACGTTCAGTGTTCAAGTGTGTGATTTTTCTTGATCATCGACGGATCCTTTCAATACGTTTCACTCCCTTTTCATCGCATAGGAGAACGTTTCGTAGTTTGCAATTGCAACCTATCCTCTCGTAACGCCTTGAAAGGCTGGCGCACACGAACCGCAGAGACAAGTATACGATGGTTGGAACTTTTACTTTTAGTAATATGATTACAAATAAAAATCGACCAAGTAAACCGTGTTTCGAAGCGTAGCTAACGTCCGTCGGCTATGGCTCGTCGACTTACTCCAATTATTCTAAAGTGTTAAAAAAGAAAAAAAAAAACAACAACACGAAGCTCCATAAGCTCTTCTCGTTGCTCCATTTTTTTCTTCGTTGTTCTTAAAACCTCGACGAAATGTGTCTGGCTGACCGTTCATCGTAGCCCATCCTTTCTACAAAGAATCGTTAGAAACAGTAACATAAGCCGTTCGTGAAAACCATCAATGTCTCACATTGCCAACGGTATTTTTAAGGCCGGCTAGAAAATGATACGACGATGGATCGACGTTGTGTCGAAGTGTCAGATTTGACGCGTGGTAACCTCGTGTTCAGTAGTTTGAATTCGAAGCGATCCCGCGTTTCCTTGGGCTTGGGGACGGGTGGCGCGGGGCGGGAGGGAGGGTAGAGGCGGCAGCAGCAGTAGCAGCAGCAGCAACAGCAGCAGCAGCAGCACCGCCACCTCCACCAAGAGGTAGAGGAGGAGGAGGAGGAGGAGGAGGAGGTAGGACGGTGGCCGCGGATGGGCGGCGGTGTTGGAAGAGCGAGAGGGCGATCGAGGTGGCTGTGGTAACGACGGTGGGTCGTGGGTCGCCCATTGGGGGAAAGAGAGAAAGAGAGAATGAGATAGAGAAAGGTGACCGGAGGCTCCGTGCTGCCTCTTCTTTACTTGGCCAGCGCTGTGGAGGAAACCTAGCGTTGGCTCTGCGCTGCTTACCAGCTAACTGGCGCGGTGGGGGGAAAAGGGGTACGGTTATGACCAACCATCAAGGGGGCAGCGTCGTCATGGTTACCGCGACGACAACAACCCGACTGTTCTAAGGGATGTTTTTAAAAGCATATATTTACTTTTGCTCTTTTTCTTGGCGATCGCGTCGATGCGATAAGAAAGAATTTTTCTTTCCTCTATATCTATGTTACATTCGATGGCCCGGTTTCATAGATCGACCGAAGTTTCTCGTGACCATTTTTCTTTTTTTCTTTTTTTCTTTTTTTCTTTTTTTCTTTTTTTTTTCTCTCCATTCTTGAACGTTCGTTCATCGAAATTGAATAAAATATCGTAGGCGTAGGAAATTTTCTAGGCTCGTGTTCCCTAATTAACAGATTTTTAGGTGTCGAACTTTGAAAAGTGTCTACTTAGTTTATCATGGGATATCGAATGCCTCATGTCAGTGAAATGTCAATGGTAGATAGCGAATCTCGAGAAGTCCGCGGCCACATGAGGCCGACGCGACGGTGTCGAAGCTCAGACTACTGTGATACCGGTACTGTGTATCCATGATACCCTTATCGTTTGATTTTACCGCAGAAAATACGTCACTAAACCTCAGAAACTTTACTGGTGGATCATAGAGTATTTTTAGACCTTTCGACAACGTAGTCTCCACGTCATCCACTAGTTTATCTTTCCGTTTTGAAATTGAAGTTTCTTGACTCGTAAATTCGTATACCAAATTTGCCATAAAAATATGTGCGAAGTTACATGTAATAAATTCTACATTTTTACACGTTTTTAATGGTGATTCCTGAGAGTTTGTTGACGGTAAAATGAAACGAACGCGTCCGACGGACAGAGACGCGCAACCTCTGCTAACGAATCGATGATCTCATGCTGTTTTTTTCATACATTTTTTAGATATTTCTTTTCGTTCCGTTGATTTCTAATCGTAGAAAAATGATAATAAATTTCGTTACCTGTAGAAAAGGGTAGAAGTATCTGTACAAGTGATAAATAGATAGTGCTTGGTATTGTTATATAAGCGATAGGGTCGGTCGATCGATTGGCTACAACGTAATCTCATTGGTGGATATAATCAAGAAACTGATCAATTATTTTTACCAGAAGTTAACAAACAAAATCTGAAAGAGTGCATCCTTTTACGTGTCTCATTGTCAGACGAATAATTAGAAAATTTACAATCACTTTGTAGAATTTAATTAAATTGCTTAGCAAATTGCTTTGGAACGTTTGAAAACGTAGTAAGATGGTTAATGTAAAGTAGCAATGACATGAAAAGGTACGATTTTTGTAACCATTTTTAGAGGATATTTAGAATATTAACACTGACAAAGTAATTTCACTTTGAATGAAACGAGCTCCGACTAGTAGCGAAACCACATTGACCAAAATCACTTCACTCGACTTGTATTATATAATTAGGGGTGTTATCAGGTTTAATATATATTTACAGATCTGAGTCTGTTTTAAAAAGTGAAGTACTGGAATTTGCAAGCTATTCTAGAATAAGTATCCATAGTGTTAGAAAGTAATACATATGTATTTTACCGAGTCTTGAGAAGGTAGTATGAAAACCTTGAAAGACGAGAAAACAGAGATATTATGTAAACGAGAGTAGGAAATAGAATATTCCTTGGCATCCACTGTTCGTAAAAAGTTTACTTGTGCTTGAAAAGGTTCGAACCTCTCTCGTCTAGACGTGGATCCATAGAGTTCCAATGAACTCTAATTGAATTTGAAATGAGTGATTCGAAGTCAGTCAGTCTCGTAGCATAAACGGGATCAGAATCGTTCGATTTTCCATCGGTCCAGGACAAAGTATGGTTTGAATGTTGGGAATAGGCGGCGTGTGCCGCGAATTAGCAGCGGCATAAAAGCGAGCCCAAGTTTGTAGCGTGTTACCCTCCTTCCTTCGTCTCCGGCCTCCACCACCTCCTGTTCCTCCTCTTGCTGCGCATCGAGCCGCTCACCCACCATCACGGGCCATTAACGAGAGAGTTATCGACGCGCGATCTGTCAATAGGCTTCTCCCATTCATAAATTCGCCCGGCGTGTGGCGGCCGCATAGTTTTGCCGCGAAAACCACGTGGCGGCGGCGGCGCGCGACGTCCTCTCCGCCGCCGTTGCACCGCAACCAGCCGAGCCGAGACTCTACTACGTGATTTACGGGCCGCGTCCCCGTTTTAAATGCATGCAGAGCAGCAACCGTGCGTGTGCATCCATCTGTCTGCCTGTGCATCTTCCCTCCCTCTTTTATTTCTCTCTTTCACGCGCCGGCACACGTTGCTGTTCCTACATATGTACATACAAGTCGCAGTCGTCGTATACGCGACCAAGCGTGGGAGTTTACTACTGCCATAGGCATAAATTTAATTTTCAATCTATCTATTTTTCATTTCTAAATTTCAAACTATTCATTTTTCCGCCACATTTCATATCCTTTTACATAAATCACTGAGACGCGGTTCTAATTTCGTGCGCGTTAAATAAATATTAAACAACGCAATCTTAAACTCTGTATCTCTGATATAAATTCGAACTTTAAAAGTTGAACTCGAGCAGCGTTTCTTTTGCGTTCGTCTTACTACATACCATCGTCACGTATCATGTGCATATCTACTCTAAACAACTCGCAGTCGTACGTAAGTCCCCACGTGGGTTCCTAGAATCCACTTTAGACCGGTATCTCATCCGAAACCGAATATCATCTTTCAAACACAGTAATTTGATCTCATAAACGTGTATCGTTCGCATCTAACCTGAAGTTCATTCATCGTTGTAATTGACGATAATTCATTCGATATATCGCTTTCAAGTTTTCACGAACGATTGGCGCCGATTTAAAGTTCCAGGCAACTCCCGCCGTAGAAAATCATATCAAAGAGAATTCGTATTCGAAGTTGTCGACATTAAAAATTTTATATTAATTTATCCTGTATCGTATCGTAGATCGCTCAATCGAGTCTCGCTACGTATTCTAAAGGTATTACATATGTATAAATAATGAAAGAATGGCGGTGTGTCTTTTTGTTGAAATTGCAGAAAGTTTACGGAAGCCTGATAATCCCGGTAGGTATGCACGACCTACGCCACTGTTTGGCGTTTCACTGATAACATCGGTGAATCACGAATTACGAATGTTACGTTGCGTCTGGCATCTCCCACTGTGTTTGTCCCCCTTCGATGCAAAGACAACCGAAGCACGTGGTACGATCGTACACGCGCATACACACAACTTTTCTCTCTCTCTCTCTCTCCTGGCGTTGCACTCTCGGTGCCGTTTTGTTTACGTTACCGTAACACCTACCGCCGCCGATTCGAAAAATTTGCAGTCATCACGCGCCTGTCGTAATTCACGCATCGAACGTTCGCCGTTACGCTTCGCCGTGATGACGTTGAAAACGAGAGCCGATCTGCCCATACGAATATTCCTTTAGCTTCGATTATAGTTAAGCTTCAGATGAAACAGATTAAGAATTAGATTTTTGAAATGACCCCACTCGGATATTTCGGGCATCGTTAAGTATCGAAATAAATCATCGTAACCGATTGTCGTAAAGAAAAAGGAAAAAAGGCAAGGGATTCCAGCCACGTGCCATTAACGGTACATAGTTGGATTGCTTGAAAGCAACTTACCACACGACTATTCACGAAAAGTAACCGTTAACCCGGTGAGACATCGAGTCCCGATCTCTTCACGCGACAAGAAGACGTATCGATAATTATCGTCGCATCGTTCTATTCGAGTGCACCACGTCTAGTCGGGACAGTTTTGAGGTAGGTTAAGGTTAAACGCGAGAATGAACGTTTCTCTCCTTCCGTCACGATCAAGCTTTTGTACGGGTAAATTTCACGGCCACCACGTTGGCTTTGATGGATCATGAGGAGGAGGAGGAGGAGGATGAAGGAGCTGAATAATTTTTATTATTATCAGTTGGCGAAACGTAGGTGAACGGCCCAAGCGAAAAATAGCGTGTTCCCTTTTTGGAAGGTCGGATGCTCCTCCCGTCGATATAACGAAACAGGAATAATGGCACCTGTCCCAGAGACTGCCACTCATCGCGGTTTCCTCCTAGAATCTTATTATACCACTGATGCGAACAGGTGTTGCTTCCAGTCACCATGACACTCGACCCTTGTTTCGCCGACGGCTCTGAATTCTTTCTCCGACTCCACGTTTCTACCGAATGATCTCTACCCTGCTGCTATTCGGCCTTGAACCTTTAATCCTCTCCGTCGTACCCTCCGGCCTCTGCGCGTTCCTTTCTGGTTTACCGAGCCCTTATGTTGTACTTTTATTAGTCTTTAACCGGCGCGGCGCGGCGCGGCGCCGCCTTTGTTCGCCGCTATTCGAAATTATATATCGCCGGCTCGTGCCACCCTTATTGTTTTCTACATGAATGAAACTGTGGACCGTAGAGTTATCGAGTATGTATTTTTTTCTGTTGGAACTACGTTTCAATACTTTGGTGGTTGTAAATTTGATGAAATCTGTGACTGTTGTAATTTCACTTTGGATTATAGGATTATCGATAGAATTTCATTTTAAAGTTATTAATCTTCAGATTACAATTGGTGTTCCATGTGATTAAAACAGATAATTATTAGACAAACATCGTAGTTTGCTTTTCTGTCCAACACTGTTTCGTTCCGTCGTCGTCGTCGTCGTCGTACCCAAGTGAATACAAAGTGCACGTGGATGAGTTAGACGAGTGCAACGAGCGTACAACCGCCGTTTTACTATCTCGACCGTAGGAGCATCCAATGAGCACGTGTTGTCGCATACGCGATGCGCTCGACCCTCTTTTCTTCCCGCCAACCCATCGAAATCCGTGACATTGGCAATGGTGTACGTACATACGTCGACGATTATTCATTTTCGAATAAAAATGAAAGGTAGATTTTCCCGTAGGATCGGAAGCAAAGACAGAGAGATAGAAATATGTAGCGAATCTATGCTGACCGCGAAGCAATACAACGGAGGAAGCAACAGCTGACGATATCGACGTAAACGAGGACAGTTTATGTACTTTCTACGCGGGTGTACGCGGGAGGGACGGGCATGTCCTCCACGTGCATTCGAGAGAGGTTCTCGCGTTACACAGTGGCGGATCCCCATCCCCCCGGTTCGTACATAGAGCGTAAAGTACGATGTAAACACACATGAATGAGCGAGAGAAAGGGAGAGAGAGAGAGAGAGAGAGGTGGCATAGTAAAACGACATAGGAATCGTCGGAGTGTGCGTCAATGCATTGTGATGTCCTCTCTTCTCTTCTACCCCTTTCGCCCTCTCCCTCTACACGGCTACACAACTCTGCACCTCCTCCCCTCTTTACTTTCCCTACCTACCTTCTTCCATCCCTTTCGACCATAGGTAGATCGTTGTTACACCTCGTCCTGTACCATTCTTGTCGTGCAACCGGAATACGCTTTGTCCTCCTCGACGTTGCTTCCATTCTGCACAGTTCAGTCGATTTCGGTCGATCGCTGCTGACGAGCTGCTGCTTTCCTCCTCGTTTCGCAGCATTTTTCCAATTTACCTTGTTTTATAGCAATAGTTTATGTTCTTATTGCTTAAAACTTTATTACAAACTAATAGGTTGATACGTAGATAACTCAATCGGTAGAGAAAGAGCATCGTACAGGAAGAAAAGGAAACTTGTTAGCACATTGAACCTATTGTATTACAGTTTCTTGGACAGTTTTAACGAGAAACAGCTGGAAAGCTCAGTATTGTATTTATATGTGCATACACAGAAAGTTTCGAACTGTTGTATGCAGATAGAGACCGCCGCGCGCACGAGTGTGTACCAAGGTTGGCCGTGAATGAAGCCTATTTGCGTACGAGCAATAACAGGTGATGCTCGACGGTTGTTTACCTTCCCTATCGGTAAAAAGTCGAACGTGAAAATTCGCGGGAGGTGAAGGAGGTGAAGGCGAGGCAACAGAGAAAGACAGAGAGAGTTTAGGTAGCACGTGGTGGTTGTGTTTTTAAAGAAACAGCCCCGAGTCAATGTTACGTACGATCGACTTTCAAACAGGTCGTTGTACTATCACGACATACGTAACATTGCACGTGAAACGTACTCGAAGGTCGTGTGCGGCGCGTTACACGTGAACGAGAGAGTTGCATCGTTATCGGTCGTTAGTGCGTTTCGATTAGAGCGATTAGTTAAGCGACGATTAGCCTTACGTCAGGATCCAACGAGAATTTGCCTCGACTTACATGCGTACATGCATGCTTCTCTGCATTGAATACCACTCGCAAACACCGGTGTTTGCATCACGTTACGTTAAAACTCATGATATTTTTCTCACGAAATAAGAAATAAGTCTCTTCATGGTCCGCCGTCCAAGGGTTAAAGAGATTTTCTATATTTTGTCGAATTTCAAGAAACGACGTATCGTGACGTATTCATGACATATCGTGTTAGGAGAGTAAAAAATATGAAAGATTCAGTGTTGCACCTATTAAAGTCGCGACACGAAATCCAATGTCGCGATTTACTGTCGGGCAAAATAGTACATCTTATAGCAATACATTCGCGTGATTTACGAGTCCCTTGGTCGGTAGTGTTTCTCTTTTGTCTCTTTTACTCTCGGAACAGTAGACGACGCGCACACACAGCACAACCGTGCAAGGGGATGTGAGAACGTCCCCCAAGCGAAGAAATGCTCGGACGGATCTCCGAAGATCACGTGCTGCGCATAACTTACATTCCCACCACTCCTTTCGGTAGCACGTGCCTCCACGGTTCTCTTTCTATCTGCATGTATGTATGTATGTATGTATATCTCTCTATCTGCTCGTATCTCTGTCTCGCTTTTAAACGTGCCCTCCCTTCTTCCCTCCCACGTCCGCATTTGATTCCACGATTCGGTTCAATCGAATGCTATACAATCTTAGACAGTCAGTCGCCTCCCGCGACACCGCACCGACGGACTTGTTACACGACTCCCTACGGCGTGGCGCGGCTCGGCGCGGCGCGGCACAACAGCCACGAGCAAACTAGTCTTCCATTAATGGAATCGCCTGAAAGAAATATACGCCAAACAGCTTCATTTTCATTTCTATTGCTCGTCGTCGTCGTCGTCGTCGTCGTCGTCGTCGTTGTTTTTGTGATCGTTAAACCCTTTCACTAGAAAGTACAGCAGCCGCTTTCGGATTATTTAGAGGTGGGACTTTTTAAGAAACGGGGATTTATTCAGCGTTATTGGCTATTAAGATTGACGGAAAGAACGGAATAGACGCGCGTGTGTGAGTAACGCGCGCGTAGATATTAAGTTTTCACAAGAAATTTTCTATCAATTACAATTATTTTCAATCGTAACAAACAAAAAACATATACCGTCATCGTTTTTTAATCAACATTGGACAGGATTAAAACGACATCGGATGATAGATCTAGTTTCATAACCAGAGGTCCGTGATTTGTTTTGTAGTCGGACGAAGATTCATTGGAAACCTAACTTGATCCGACGGTGGCCGCTTTCGCGTGACAAATAGATCGCCACGTGGTTCGAGTTATCCCTCGTTTCTCCTCCTCTTTCCCCTGCTGTGCATCCAGCCACCCTAGTTTCCCCCCTCGTCGTTTCTGGCCAACTGTAAATTCACGCGCCTACACACAGGTGGCACCGCCCTCTTGCCAAGTGCACGTACCAAGAGCAACGAGTACTTCCCTTCGGTGATATAGATAACACGTCTGTGCACGAGGTAGCAACAGTGGGGGCATAAACACAGGTGAAAGAAAGAGGGGGTGGCTGTTTATCATATGCAAATTTCAGGTGACCGCGTGGCTGTGGCTGCACCGAAACTGGCTAGTAAGAGAAAACTGTCTACCCTCCCATTCAACAATTGTCGTAGGCTCTTCCGGACATATTTTCATGCTTATGTAAATACATATTTTGCAATTCGCAATCTTTATAGGCTGATCCTATACATAACTCTATTCAAAATTTGCTAATTAATCCTTTGAGAATTAGTAAAAAATTTTATTGCCATTTTAACATATTTGCTACTGGCTCTAAAAGGTGGGCTCGCTGCCTGCCACAGTGTTTGGCATTGGCGTGCCAGCCCGCGATATCGCGTGATCAACAGCGAACGTGTTAACAAAATCTATACTATTTGATTTAGTAACTTTTTGCTGGTCTTATTTTGACCACGGTCAAAGTAGCGTGTTGTTTCCCAACATAAATTTCCACCTTTGCTTGCAGAAATGTATGCAAATCATTTTAATTTAACCCCTTGTTGCTTCTTGGGTACCCGGTTTATCTAACGTAAGGTTAGCAGAACGCAATCCGAAAGAACTTCTCGCGCCTTGTAACGCACGCAACTGGGGATCCCTATCGCGTGCGAAAGACTAGTTACATGGAATAGTTGGTGCACTCCCTTACAGGTGGCAGCACAGTAAGGTGCCCCGTCACTCATACAGACGCACCAACTTGAGCTCTTGGCTCACGCGTAAATACATACCTACTCGCACATACATACTTACTTACTTACTTACTTGCGCAAGAATTCCTCTCGGCGTACGACTCACGCGCTCGTGCTCTCTTTTTCTCTCTCCCGTGCATGCTTATCTACTACCGTTTCCCCTCCGACTTTCTCGTGGTTGCAAAGGACGTCTCAAAAATTTGCTCCGTGTAATTTCACAGGGAATTATGAATTGGTATTTTATAGGAGGGTCATCCTAAAAATCATGTCAATATTTGGGGGACTTAAATATCAGTTAAGTTCGTATAGTTAGGAAAAGAATAATCCTGTGTATGTACATATACATATCTTATTCGTGCCCACGTTCAAGACTTTCAAGTTAGTTTTCGTACCTTTAGTAGAAAATTGAACAGGAATATCAGATATCACTATTCTTTGTCCTAAGGCGATTATATTTTCCAAGAAAATGAAAGTTGAAGAGAGATTGAAATTTGAAAACGATTTCGTGGAACATTCCATCCGGTATCGCGAATCTAACCTCGTATTAACCAAGACAGAAAATGTAATCGCGTATATTGCTCACCGTTTCACCCACACGAGGAACGCCTTATCGCGTAACGAGGCTACATCCATACAGTTTGCGTCGAGGCTCAAGTCGGTGGTAGTGGGAGAGACTATCACGAGCCAACGTGCTTTCAACTCTATATTAGAGGTTACACAATCAGCCTTTCCAGCTCGTCGTTGACGTTGCCGACTGTACGCCGTCGACGTCGACGTAGACGTCGTCAGTGTCGTTTTTGAAAGGGCGCTCGATGCTGTCGCAGGTCACTCGTTCGATAACACTCGGCGTAACAGTCAGCATCCTCGAGGAAACCTGCTGCCACGCGGAACGGTCTTTTTTCGAAGTTTCAGTAGCGGCGAGTAGCAGTTACGTAGCACAGTAGAAATAGAAGGGGTATACATACAGAGAAAAATTTAGATTACATAACACGTTGCTTCAAGTGTAGTGGAGTGTTTGTACCAAACATTCGAAATTTTAACCGATTTCAGTAGGAAAACCGAATTTATACACATGTATCTACATATTAACACTAGAGATACATAAATATTATAAGAGAGTCGACCCCATCAGTTAGAAAATATATTATTTAGGTTTTTTTTTTTTTTAAATTCTTACTATGTTGCTTTTACCCTTGTTTTATAGACAAAATTAGTATTTCGACTTTTAGGATGTCGCCATTTTGTTGCAAATTAACTTTTCAAAAATCCAGCCCCATAAGGACTACACATGTTATCTAAAAATTGTCGAACTTTTGATTTTAGATAATCCAACTCCGAGCAGCAGTGGTCACCACAAAACGCTTTCAAAACATCAAGTTATATCTCTCATATTTATCATTATTTTTGCACTTAAAAAGTATTAAGGTTTTGTAAGAATGTACTCTTTAACAGAAAAGAATGTTTATAAAAAATTCATAAGTTTTTCTTTAAAAAAAAAAAAAAAAAAAAAAAAAAACGAAAAAACGAAAAAACGAAAAAACAATATCCTAAAAATGCATGTTATTTTCACCGTTTCGGATAGACGAACTTATCGTCTCTAGTGTATTTTTATTACTCATAAGTATATTAAATAATTATATTATATCGTTCTGAGTACACTTCATTTAGTTAGAACCAATAACACAGTTGGGCCAACTGTTTTCGGTACAAATGCTCCACTGTGCCACGTGCAGTTCCAGACTTTTAATGTAACGTGCGGATATATTACATTCCTCGATTCACCTAGTAATCGCAGAAAAGGATTAAAAATCGGCGAGGTTGCGTCGCGTGTCGCGGTCGTGTGGCACCTCTAAACAAGGCTCTGCTTACGGCCTAAAAAGATTCTAGTATGTATTTAGTTTATTTTCAAACATCAATTTATACCTACTATTCAAAATAATATCTTTCTGTTCTTTTCTTTTAATCGTTCAAGTACGTCTAATTTGAATAATTTAATGTAGATGGAAACGATTTTAAAATAAAAAAAGCAGGTGCATTCCTCGTCTTTTCAGCGCTGACGAAAAAGGTACCGAATTAATTGACACACCTGACGGTATGATGTGTTCGCGACGCACCCTTCGATCTCGTTCGAATTCGTGCGTTGAGCGATTCCGCTCGAAAAATTGCTTCGACTGCTTTCGCGGAACATAAAATCATCAAAATACGTTCATCCACCTTGAAAATGACCAGACATTCTCCCCCGCTGCCAGAAACCCGTAGTACCTCCCGAAATTGTTCAGCGTTATTTTCGCTGATCTCCCCCCAAAAACTGTTCCTCCCCACCACCTAGCACCCCAGAGTCAGTGTCCTTTAAGTAAGTTAGACGCCTGCGCAAATCGAAGGTGGAAATTCTCGGTTGGCAATGGTGAGGATGATAGGTGGTGGGATAGTTGGGTGGGCGATGGTGGGGATGGAGAAAGACAGAAGGGTGGTAGATACGGTGTGGTCTGCATTGGCGGGTGGGTGGAGGGTTAATAGGACGTTGGCGCCGCGACGGCGGCTGCGAGAAACACGGCCACGTGCGCCCGCTATCGAACGGGCGCCATCCCCAATCTGCTCAACCCAACCCCAACCCCATCAACCCCTTCTCTGTCTCTCCCCTTATCCGTCGACCCTCTATACCCTCCTCCCCTTGCTCTCGTCGCTTCGTCTCTCCCTTTCTTCCCTCATACCACCACGCCCCTAACCCCTTATACACGTCCTACCCAACTATGGCTATGTAAGAGTGGTGTACATATATGTATATATAGGACGCACACCAGGATCCTGTATCTCACGTACATGAAATGCAATATATACGTAACTCTGTATATAGAGGATACTCGTGTGCGCTTTATGTACCACACACGAAGACAAGGCTAGATTCGTGTGGGTACACTATCCACGCCGTTCGTATTCGACTGTACGGTTGTATTTCAGAATGAGCTGGATATATCGCGCGAGAGAAGTCGCTGAACATGAAGTATACAGTTTATGCCATTACCGACGCTTCAACGAATTTGTCTCTTTTCAAACGATAGAATAATCTGATAGAATGGTGGGGTGGTTGCGAGATGATGATACGACTCAGGTTGTGGGTGTAGCATTGTATTTTTCACTCTTTTTTTTCGACTGGGCAGAAAACAACGGGGCATCGTTAGTAGACGTATTAGAAGTAAACACTTACGATTAAAGTCGCATCGTTCGGTTTTTATACCGAACCTGGGATACCGCAGACCTTGGTTTATGCCATTTCTTCATTGAGTTCTTCCAAACCAACTTGAAATCTTAGTTTTTAGTCAAACACGAATTTTTACTTTAGCCTGAATTTGAACAGGAAAGTTTCGTTGTGCCAAAATTTATCGTTAAATTCGACGAGTTAGAGAAATTTCTCCGAAAATAAGCACTCGATGATAAAATCTTTGGTGGGTACTCGCGCGCCAAAGAATTTTCAAGGTGTATCGACTATGCACGGACGCCTGCGTGCACGCGTATACACGCGTATACACGCGTCACATCCTTCGAAACCAGTTTCACACGGACGTAACCGATACCTTCGTCTTCCTCGTGGATCGGCCGATCTTGCTCTCCTCTTTCTCATTTTCCTTTCCACCACAAGCACACTCAACTCTCGTCCTGTCCCTTTCTCGGTTACCTTGCCACACAAGGATACCTCAACTCTCCCATTCTAAGGCCATTTTCGAAGTCTCGACTTGTGGGAATTATCGCGAAGCTGACTTGGTCACCTCGAACGAGGGTCGAAAGCACTATAAGTTTCCGATCTTTCGGAAATCTGTTCTCTGGAAGCTGACATTCGATTGGTAGCCGCTGCTGGCTCGCTCTGTTATCGATCTATTCAATTTATGGTTTGTCGAGTAAAATTAGTCCTTGCAACGTATCCTTATCATAGTTTTAGTAGCACTGAAAGGTATACTCGAGATGGTACGTGTTATAGAAACTGATCATGATCGATTAGTATAGCGTGTGAGCTATATAGCCATTGGTCAGTCTAAACGCAGGGTATTCCTCACCGAAGAGATTACCAAAAATGTCTTATTCCAACACTCTTCAGATTCTAGAGCCATTGTTTATATCAGTAGCTATACCATATAGAAACAGTACCACTGATAGAGTGAAGGTAGCGAACAGAACTTACAATAGACAGGAGCTTAGTATGTATGTCAGTTAACTAGTGGAGAATCGTGTAGATGATGAAAGACATTTAACGCGAGCAGCAAAGTACTAGTACAACAAAGTGTCCTGTGGAGAACGTCTCTTAACAGCCGAAACCGGCGAATAACGAGCAGTAGCCTTGCGGTTATTTGCTTAATGGTGCTTACTGTTGGATCCACCGCAACTAGAGGCGCCCCCTCTAATTGCTGACATGATCCCTACACTCACCGCTAATAATTACCCTCAAGATATCGTACGGCGCTTGTTCCATTCATCTGAGCTTCACCGGCGTTTCACGGGCCTAAAATTATTCAAATGGGAACGTGAAAACAAAAAGGATACAGGTTACACGATCCGCAAACTGAATACGGATTATCAATTTATATTACGGGCAATTTAAAAGACCGCAGATTTACTTTTACGTTCAACCGGATGCCTAGCTAATTAACGTTATGTTATAAAATAAATTAAAACAGGAATTAACAACATTCCAGCGAGAGTTCTTTAATGAGGTTCATTTCGCTTTTACCCCGCGGGTAAAGCGAACTTTTACGAAACCCACCTACGCAACCGCGTTACATGAGTATTCTACACTATCGACGTGCTCTTTTACCTATCTTTCAATCTTTTCTAACCTGATGGTTCCAGCAAGATACGTTTCCTTCCTTCAGGGTGAACTTGTTTCAAAAAACTAATTGTGCTTCAGTCACAATGAAAATCATTCATGTTTTGTGAATATTCTTGTTTGTGAATATACTTAATCTTCCCTTAGTTTAGTAAGGGAAGAATATAGGGGAAGAAGTGTCCTACTACTTGCCCTGTTCTTCCTTGTTCTTTAAACGCAAGGGTAAGAGATTCTCTACAATAGGTTCCATAATTGCCACGTCCACTCCATCGATAGAAAAAGTTAGAGTATAAAGAAAAATCTTGCCATTTTGTGTAACCGCATTGCCCGTTGTTGAATCCATTAATGTCCTTTCATCATTTTCTGCAATTTTGCATGCGGCACCCGACAACGATTTCGCTCATCGCGGAATCCTCGTTTCGAGAGCGCCCGTTATTCGTCCTCGTCGAGAAGCCTCGATATCTCTTGCGGGCTTGCCGCTCGTATGTGAACGGGCCTGTATGGTAGAATGTGTTAGCGAAAGAAAGACAGAGAAACGGTACGTGTATGTGTGTGTCGTAAAAAAGAGGGGGAGGGAGAGAGAAAGAGAGAAAGAGAAGGAATGAAGAAGAAAGGAGAAGGCAAAAGAGAGATCGTAAGTTCTGTAGCATCAGGGGGCAGAACGTGTTGGACAAAGAGGGACACATTACTCGTGCATGGGGCGTTGCCATGGAAACCTCTGCTTGTTCCACCCTCTCGCGCGCTCGTGAGCGTCAGCAGGAACGAGAGAGATTGAAGGAGAGGGAGAGGAGAACGTCAGAAATAGAGGGAGTGAAAGGACGCTTGAGAGAGAAAAAGATGGTATTACTAGAAGTGCGATGGAAAAAGGGAGAGAGAAAACGGTACTGGAACGCGAGAGTAAAACAGGAAGGAATAGGGCGAGGAAGTGAGAGGGGCGATTGTCAGAAGAAGGGAGGGAATGAGATTGTTAGAGAAAAAGAGAAGAGCGAGCGAGAAAGCTGCCAAACGTGGGGCCGCCAGTGCAATCAACCCGTTGCCCGCCTGCGAGGGTAAAACTACCCCAAAGTCAAACGAGGATACGTATATTATAGAGGGAGCAGTACCGTCGTTGTGTGTATGCCGCCATATATATATATATAATATGTATGTAACACCGTACGTATACGTATTTATACACGCAAACGAAGGGATAGAGAAAAAGAGAAATAGAAATAAAACGGTAGCGTGTAAAAAAGGAATACCCCAACTGTTAAACGTTTGATAATAGAAAAGAAGCTCTGTCGGTAAAACAGTGGAATCTATTACAGCCTCTATAGTTCAGCCGCCATTTTAATTAAACTCCAAAACTACAATGGCTGATTCGTGACTCGATTTTCTGAAATAATTGAATTTTACACGAAAAATGCTGAAATAGAATAGAAAATATATAACTTTAAACGAACAGATTTACAATTTCTTTCCATTATAAAATGAGTACCAAGGAGAAAGTGGATCGTCGTAATTCATAATTTAACTTTTATTTTAGGGCGTAACTGTATTATGTTAGATCACACAAAGAGTCTTGCATGCTTTTTTGGAGTTTGTGGGAAAATAGTAGAAAGTTTTGAAAGATTTTGAAAAGTTTTATGGTGTTGACATATATATGTATAGAGAGAGAGAGGTTTTTAAGACCACCAAGTAAGTTTCTGATTCCAACTTCTGAGTATTGTTGCTGGGTTATCAGACAACCTAATATTGGAGGGTACCGTTAAAAATAAAAATAGCAAATCGACGCGTTTCATGAAACTGGGAATTTGAAGAGTAACCCAGAGTTGTTGGTAGGTTCAACTCGGACCCGTTGCTAAAAGGCACCTTGCAGTACGTCCTTGCAGACGTTCCAAATATTCACGAATGGAAAGGATCATGGTACATATATACGGGTACGAGGTTAAACTCACGCGCGAGGGTGTCGAGGTTTTCGTTCATCGTGTTGTTGCTGGTAAGGCTCGTTGCTCTATTCTCCTGGAACCAGTTTTCCTCTACACTGTCGAGAGAGAGTACGCGCGCGCTCAAAGCAGAGAAAAAGAAACACATGCTCATACGATGAACACGCACACACGCTACGGTACGCATACGGTGGGAACGCGACGCACATGTTGCTATAACTGTGAACCATAGCATACATTTATGTGCACGCACACGTACATGTAGTTAAACTAGAAAGTTGCCCCAGCCAGCGTCGAAGAAACGACAGTACGCGCCGGGCTAGAGCCTTTCAAATTTCAACCAAGAATATTTTCCATGTGTTTTGCTTTCTATAAAAAGAAGCACAAAAATCTTTGTTCGAATAAATGTAAAAAAAAGAAATCTTGTACACCCTTCTTACGGCCTATTTTGAAAATAATATATTTTCATTTCACTTTAATGTGTTTGTTTGTTGTTGTTAATTGAATCGAAATGCTGAAACAAAAGCTTAGATTTAAATGAAAGAAAAGATAAAAGTCCACCCTCGATATGGTGTAGAATTGTTACGCTGACAACCCCATTCTCGAGAGTAGAAAGTTCGTGTAGAGGTATTTTGCTCGGCGCAAGAGCGACATCGTGCGAGACCTCAGAGCGTGGGTATCAGTACGGAACCGAGTCTACAACGCATTGGCGCTATGTTGCCACGTTTCGAGGTCTCTCTTTCTCGTCTCTTCTCTCTCTTTTCCACTTCCCATATCAGCTATCTCGTTCTTTCTTAAGTTTCTCTGGTTACGCAGCGTTGCCGGTTCGACTGGCGGGAAAACTGGGTTTCGAAACAAATTTTCCTTCGCTTGCAGCATTATTTTATTACCTACCAGTTTTGATAATAGTTTCTTTTTTATAAATTCTTTTCTCTGTAACAATGTTACACGATAATTTCTATTAAGGAATTTATATTTTATTACAACTATTAATCTTCAGACTACGGACGGACCGCTAAAACAGCGACTATTTGAATTTAATTTTAGTCACGATTGATCCGGCTCCACCGTCCAAGAATGAAAAAATTGAATAAAATTATACGTAAACCTTTTAACGTAATAAAGCTTCTGTCAAAGTCAATAATGTACTTTGTATAGTTGTTGGTGTAAGCTTCTTAAAACTCGCGGCTACATAGTTGTATAAAAAGATTTACTATACTGGAAATACGATTCGAAATTCTACTACGACCGATTATCCTTTCGACTCTAGAAGAAGAGTTAGAGCTGGTTGCTCGATCTGACGGTGTACAGGGAGAGGAAGGAGGGTAGACGGTTTTAGACTACGGACTCGACGCGTCGGCGTCGAGTTAAAAATAACAGTAACAGCAGCAGCGGAACAGAGTAGCCAGTCCTCGGTGTCTACGTCTTCTACGTCGTCTAACTTCCACTACTTCTGGAATCATCGATTCTGAACCTAGACCATTACCAAAAACTAGAGAATCTCAGCTGAAAACTTGAAATAATTTCTACATATGTACATATTACCCTATCATGAAAATAGGGTCCATTAGTAGGCTTATGAGAAAAGGCTCTTCTCTTAAATCTGAAACTCGTATGCCATTATGTCTATGCTAGGGACACGTTAATTAATGAAAAACATGAAAATTAACAGAAACGTTTGCAACCATAGAGCAAAATGGATGCTACTTTTTCCTACATCGAACACGCAATTCACGTTCCCTGGCGTCACTCGCGTAGCAGCTTCATCGCTAATTGCCGTCCAACGTCGGGATCGAGCCGAGCAAGAGACGTCAACCGTAACGGCGCAGCCTTGAAGAAACGGTGGCGGTGGTAGCGGCGGCAGCGGCGGCGGCAGCGGCGGCGCGCGTTGTTTCGTCGCGACGACGTCGAAAAAACGACGTGCCGATCATGTGCCGCTAGCTGGCGCTGTATTCGCGTACACATGATGGCGTGCCATCGCGCTCGCGCTCGCGCCCGCCTCTCTTATGTATGTATGTATGTATGTACACGTTTTACAAATTTGACTTTCACGAGGAGACTCGTTGCTTCGTCGCACGTAACCTTGGCTGCGTCGTCGTCGAAACGGGCTGCGAGCGTCGTCGTGCAGCGACGGGACGGATTTTATTTTCGTATCGCCGTCGCCTCGTTGTTTTGCTTGCCCAGCGCGCGCGGCTGACACTCGTAAATTCGATGCTCGGTACTTTTCTAATATTGCTGGATGTATTCCGATACCACCAACCCTCTTGCATGAAACGATACCAATCGAAAAATCGAGAGGATCGTTCCATAAAATCGGTGGAATTGGTCTGTGCTTTTTCCTTCTGGTGAAAGCGATTCGATTCAAAAGGATAATATGCACTGATGCATAGAAGCTAGAGTAGAAATATGTAGCCATATCTGGTAAGACGTGATAAAACGGATAACCCTTGGACGGAGGGTTAACGTTAGTTGTATGTAGTATTCAAAGTGTTAGCATAGGATTGCATATTTTTTCTACTTTTTCATTTAATTCTCGTGTGGGTATTTAGATTTTTGCAAAGATATGCTGACGAAGAACACTCGTTTGGTGTCAAGTTCTTTGCTTTCCTCGTGTCTTCCTTACACTTGCAATTTTTCATAAAGTCAAGCTTCGTTATATGTAGGTATATTGTCGTTTGTTAGTCGAAAAATGTTGGTTTTGATTAAATTTTAGCACGTGATGTGTTGCTACGACGTACATACATCATTCACCGTTTCACCCTCTATTGACCCCTTTCACTGCGTCGTTCTTTTACGTGACAGTCGCAAATCGATCGTTATAACTCAACAAATAATTTATCTATTATTTGGAAAGGGTTGATATAACTTGACACGAAACTATTATTGACGTAGATGATATTATTTACTTACCAGCTGCATACATTAGGGTATCAGTAGTATTGTATATACGGTTTGAAACAGGTGTCACACTTGTGTTATAAATCAATATGCAACAGGACCAAGCCTGTGTCACGATTAATCTGCACATCTTAAAATAGTTTTCGTATTATTGTTCATGAAAGAAAAAAAAAGACTTTCGATTACAATTTACATTGAATTTGATCCACAGCAAGGACCTAGTAAATCATTTAATATTTTCTAAATATCTGTATTCCGCGTTATTTTTCAATATCTCATAATCTCCTTAATGTAGTTGCACTTTGCTCGACAGCAAGCTAGGAATAGCCGTGGCAGGATACGGTAACAGTTACGGCCGGGGCCGGTACTGCTCGAGGCGATCGTGCAAGGACGGTACCGCTACAGGCGAATATCTTCCACTGGTATTCTTCCTTCTTTCGCGGGGATTTGTTGTCGCGTGAAATGTTTGCCTCTCTGTTTATCCAAATAATGCAACGAAAATATCTCGCCAAGGCGAGAAACGACGTATCGACGTGCATAAATCGTTGGAATAACGTTGTTAAGTACAGTGCAAAGAGTAAAACGGTGAGAAATTCGAAGAACGTCGAAGAACGTCGAAGAACGTCAAAGAACGTCGACGAAATCGAATTCGACGTAAATCTTGCACCTGGAACGTCGTAACCTGCGAAACGCAGACTATCGGAAGCAGCGCGCATCCTTCAAGCAGGACCAACAGGATAACACTTGGTGTTGGACATGAGAGGTCGTTGAATCCCATTAAGCGGTACTTGTTCGATCGTTCTCGCTTCGACCACCTGTATAACCGTGGTTCTTTTCGACCGATGCCTTTCTCCATCTTTGTTCCGACTACGAGCGACGTTTGAGCATCGACTTGGAGAGGTAGTAGCAATCAAACAGCAGGATGGGAACGATTACGCTGGCGGTTCTACGCGTTGTTTCTACTCTACGTATTTGCCCGGTGAATATCGTGTACGAGCTGAACGGGAATATTGCATTCTCGTTTTCTTGTGTAGCCAACGCAGCCACACCTTTCACCAACACCCAACCGGCCCCTGCTGCTGGTTTAGCACTTCTCTAGCCTGGCAAACAGCACCGATGCTGGCTGCTGTATTGCTGCTTTGCTCGGACGATTGTCTACGGTCCTCGGTTTTGTTTAGACCACCACCGTACAAGTAATGTACATGTACCGGCTAACAGTAAACACGTTCACTTGGTCCCAGCTTCGCTGATAGAGATATGCTCCTTGCGGGTGCCATCAGGACGCACCATTTTCTAGGATCTTTTATTGTTTGAAATTTGCCGCACTAGTCGCGCCATTCGCGTTCGCGAGGAAATTGGTGATACTGCGGTTACTTACAATTAGATTGGGATATTTAAACCCTTGTCTTCTTTTATACAGTTTTTATTGTAAGAGTATCTTCAATTCACTGTCATAAAAAAGATTGGTGTGTCAAGGACCGCTGAAGTCGCTTTGCTTAGCAAGATCGGTAAAAGTTCGTTTCTAAACGTCGAGGACTTAGGGTAGTACGCGTTGGCCTGCTGTCGTCAGTCATACATGGGACGGGCAGGCAGGCAGGCACGATCTGCCTGACGAGGGGGATTTCTCCGTTGTCGTTTCGACGGGGCGGACAAAAGAAGCTGGGGCCGATAGCCGACTGGCGACCCTTCGGTACAATAAAAGGTTCCAACCCTCGTTTCTCTTGGCCGAGGGTATGTACGGGCTGTTCTACCCCGAACTCAACAATACGGGCCGCAGTTGCCGAAACCCCGGCTTTTCCGGGACTCTATGGGGCAGACTCAGGGCCCTGAAGCTTTGCACGCTACACTAGAGCCTTTATTTTATTTTATTGTTCAGACTTACTGTCCAACTAGTAGCAATCATATTTGTCCCTTTTTCTATTTTCCTAACAGTCGGAAAGGGTTAAAATTTGGGAAATTAAGGTGAAAAATGTTGAATTCATTATTATTTTATTAGATAAATGATAAATCCAAGCCATTAAATTTAGTACAGTTATTTTGCATACAATGGTATTATGTTATCAAATTTATTTATAATTCCTCACAAGAAATTAATCATCACGGTTCATGTGTTTAGAAATTGAAGTCATTTGGAAACTTTCAGTGTCGTCAAGTTCCCTGAAGATAAAGTCATTGTTTATGTTGCGATGACGCGTTGCTCTCAGTTCTTCGTTACCCTGTGACGAATACGTGACTAGTCATGGTTCTCGCTTCTTAAAGCTTTAATCGCTGTCTGTTTAGGATTTACAAAGCCTCGCTACCTCTTTTATTTATTTATTACTGTGCAATAATTGTATACACTTCGGTGTATACAAAAGTAATAGGAATAGCTAATTATCCTATTTCTATTATAAATTGGTAAACCATGCCCAATATTATGATTTCTATCCGTGAAACTATTCATTTGATTTAAGTCCTCTGCTTGGAAACAAATAGCATCAATTAAAGGAATTTCAAGAACAAAATATCCAAAAATCTGATGCCAAAGTATGAATCATCATTCGCGTTATCAACGAATCGAGTTTCCTATTCCCTCTGGCAAAAAGGATCAATAATTTTTGGGAAAGAGGGAAGGGATCGAAGTGATCCCTATTCTCCAGCCACGCGTTCATTATTCCTAAAAGGTTAAGAAACTCTTGGCGGCGAGGTGAGCAGATTGCTGGTAAAAATCGAAAAAAAGAAACAAACCCGCATAGCGATCTCAAATTATCAATCATCCAAGTGGCTCTGCGTCAATGGACGGTCTAGCAAAGTAGACATTGAGAGTCACTGCTATACTGCGGGCCAGGTCGAAGGGAACCTTTCAGAGGATTCCCCTGATGTGGCCCGACCCGTCCGACCCTCGTCAAGACCACGTCGAGCCATCCCTTGGGCCACGTGCAACGAAGGCGATCATCAGCGTTTTCTACCTGGGTCCCAGGTATCGGGTCATCTGTAAAAGGCCCCCGGACGTTCCCCTAGTAGACGCATTTTTTGGAAATTTCTTACTGTCTTCTATGTAACGAGAACAGGGGGTAGCCTATTCTGAAAAGGGGTGGATCATAAATTCCGTAACACGAAAAACAGCCGGATTTTAAGTTAATGAAGATTGGGGTGAGATTAAGGGGTCGCGGTGTATTCGCCCTATGAATGTAATAAATAATATTTTAATATTAATTTTTATTAATATTTTGATTTTAATATTGATAATAGAGAAGGGCTTAGAAGTGTTTAGGGAGAGCCTTGGTTCATTTTTTTCTTAGCATGGGTCACATATGACTTTGTTATTCGTATTCCAAAAATTAATCACATTACAAATCAAATATGTATTTAATTCTATTTTGAAATTAAATTCATAATTAATGTATTTAAATATCCGAAGGGGTGGGTTATGACAGAAAATACATATGTAAGTCGATGGGTAGCAACAGGTTCAACAAAGACCCTGTATTGTACATACTATGCGCTCTTGATTGAGCTTTCGTTCGTTCGAAATTGTATAACGTTTTATCGATCGGTTAACCAGCTATACAGGTATCTCGTTGACTGGATAGATAAGTGACAATGACTCGATCTGAATTCAACAGTATCTTATCGCGGACGTGTATTCGTTTACTTTCGTCACTGACTTTTGTACGGAAATACCACAATTGTCATTTCTTGCAACACCGACAATCAAAAATTAAGATTTACTTGAATGAAATTATTGGCGTTGAAAATATTATAATACTGTCACTAATTTCATAATATTATCTCTATTTATTTGGCATTTATAAATACCCGAAGTATTTTTCAAGTATTGTACAATGGAGAATTTACGATCATCGATGAAACGATGATCGAGTCGAATCGATTAAAGGATCAGGTGGTACTTGTTGATCGTAAATGGAAAACTCGAAGCAACGATACTTCCTAGAGCAGCAATATTAACAACGTCGATACATGGTTTCAGAGGCTGGTTCACGGCAAATATCGACCTACATATACAGGGTGTATAATTACCAATTTTTCTGTAATTTACCTGTTGGTGAACGTTTATCGGAGCTTTTATGCTGTTTTGTATAATATAAGAGACGCAAATAAATGATAGGTAGAAAACCTTTTGAGATTGATTAAAGTCGATGGAGATAAAGGATTTTAATTTGATAGAGGCATTAATTCTTGTATTTAAAAGTTTAATATTTAATGCTCATCCTGAACACATAAGTGAAAATAAATAACTTTTTCAAGTAGTAGACTCGACGAACCCCTCTTTAGTATCTCTACTAGGGTTAATGTAACTGTTAATGCAGTGGGTCGCACACATAACCATAGAACTCATCGCATGAAAACTACCTGTTTGCCACTCGCGCCGAATGCACCTTGCGACCGTCCCACTCGTCAGCACGGTTGCACTTGCGAATGCACGTCACAGTCGCATGTGTATTATTTAGCGTGGCTGGCGGAGGCACCTGCGACACGCTGTAACCATCTTATTCTCTCCTTCTTTGACTTGATCCTACGATGGCCATCACATAAACTTCAGCCTGCGCCCACTCGTCACCGCGAACAGGTTCCAACTTCATGTCGCGTCTCCTGTTTCACGCTTCCTCTTTCTTTCCCTTTCCCTTTCCCCTTCCCCTTCTCACCCTTCATCCATCACTTCGTCTAATTATTGCAAAAATTTCAACGACACGAATTCTTTTCAAGTTCAACCCTTTAACCGCGGCGTGCTCTGAAATGATAACATCAGTATTTTACAGTTTGCGATCATTCTAAAATTTTAAATAAAAAAATTGCCTGTTACTAATTATAAGTGATTTTATTTTAAATCAAATTTTAATATAATAAAAATTCGTAGGTAGTAAATGGACGTCCTTGGAACGGTGACGGGGACATGTCACAACACGTGACACGTATAAGTACGCGTCACCCGTTTCGTTTTTCGCGAAGAATCGCGGGAAAAACGATCCCGGATAATTGCACCGTTCCTCTCGGCTCGTAGCGATCCCGATTGGTCAAGCCCCATCGATGCCGATAAAATTTATTAGGAACAAAACGAAAAGAATTCTCTGTACTCGATCGGCGTAACCGGAATTTTTGTCTTTTTAGAGAAGCCGGATCCTCTGGTTTTTATTAGAAATAAATATCGAGTATCTACTGTCGTTTAATTCTAACATGGTTTCCATTTACAATTTCCTTATAATACTTGTTCAAATTTTGTTAATTTTTGATTAAGTATAGGTGGATTGGCCAGCCCACAATTTAAATAGGGTCAGATCCACATCCTGACCCTTACCTAGTTACGTCAATGACCTACTCTCTCGATTCAATTTTCATTAATCGATTCGAACGTCCACGCGTCCGCGAAATTTCTCCCCTTCCACTGTCGGGGGTTGGTGCATTGTGTGCACGTGTGTAAGCGGGAAGATGCCGCCGCGTTAAAAAAGCCCGCCATGGGCGAAAGGAAAAAAAAAAAAAAGAAATGCATGAGAAAGGGAGAGCGACTCGTGTATCCCTGTCGAAACTTCCACACACAAGGGGTGCTGTCCGTTGTCTGCCATATGGTCCCTCTTTTTTCGCCACCCCTTATACGGCTTTCTTCCCACATGACAAAGGTAACCACCCACGTGTGCGTGCACGTGCGTGTTTACAGCTGTGCGAGTCGGCTTCCACGAAAGTGAACAATCTTTTTTGTTATTATTATAAGAAAAATTGAGCAACGATAAAAAAGTGGTGTCAGGTGAACGTTTGCTGCCACTTTCGATAATTTTAGGACACTTTGGTTTTGGTTTTGGTTCACATTTATATTTTTCTGATTTTCACTTAACTAATAAACAAAATAGGAAATAAATTGACTCGCGTATCAAATCATGTCAGATTCTTGATGTTTCGAAATCAGCCATTTAATATGCATTCGCTGCTTTTCGTACCTCTTAAAACGTTCTTCCCTGACGAATAAAAAAAATAGGAGGTCAATCGAGAGTAAGCGAGAAAACGGATTTTCCGTGCCTTTTGACACAAGCTACTGGCATCCGTAACTTTTTCATACCAATTAAGGGCTGAAATACGTATTCTTTATTTCAACGAGGCAACGTTAAGAAGCCAACTACATTTCCGTCTCTGCTCGTTCTCTTCCCGGTTCCTCCAAATTTTCCACCCCTCTCATCCGCCCTCTATTCTCTCCCGTCTCTGTTTCCCTCGATGAGTGCTCAGGGTGCGGGACCCCTTCGTTCAGGGCACCACAGATGCCGTTCGTCCTACTAGATTACGTACCAGTGGTACTCAAACGTTCCACTCGTGGCAGTGCAGTTTTATCACTCATCGCCAGGGCAATATTATAGGGTTAATTTGGCCTTCATATCAGAAATGATTTCGATAAGAGAAAAATATTTATCAGTAATTTTAAGTAAAAAACGATGTTAAAATTAAGCAGTAAGCATTTGACAGTAGAATTGCTTGGTAGAATTGCTGAGAGAACCCCTTGCTCGTGTAAGCAACCCTCCGTTTTTGGAGACTTTCCTTTATTCATCCCCTAATGTAGGACCGACCAGTACGCGTAGATTCACCTCCGCTGGTATATACATACGTAGGAGGGTAGTGTATTTATCGCGAAAGTTGTACATGAACGATATGTAGATACGTTTACACAAAAGGATCCAGGGATATGTAGATGTAGGATTCTCGCTAGTGTACATACATTATACGCGGCCATGTGCGATGCATTTATTGCGCGAGGGTTTGCGCGTGGCATACAAATACCCAGTGGCACACAAGTACTCGTATTTTCGTGGTTGCAAATGTTATGCTGCATGGTGGTATAAACTGGGTCAACCATCGGTATGGGAAACTACGAAGTTCTGTGTTTTTGGTGAGGTATAACGCTACCGTCTTTTTTCGAACAAATTTTTTAATTACGGATTGATGAACTACGTATAGGTGTATTAATTATTATATCAAATATTCTTTTCACTTCCGGTTCCCCATAAATAAAATTCACAACTATTTCACAGATACATAAGTTTTCTGATTTTATATTCAAAGGTACACGAAGCACGTCGATGATTGAGTGCAGTGATGCGTTAGGGGTAGTTTCTATCCGCTGTCCCTATGTATGTACAGCTTCTTTTATCATCGCGCACGTTGCTAAAGTAGAAATTCATTCGTCTACGATCATATTCGTGAAGGATAATGCTTACTCGTTGCTTTTTTTTTTTTTTTTGATGATTTTCAATAACGTTGTGTAGATCACCGGCTCTCGTGTCTGTAAACTGACCCCCTCGCGTGGACTGTTTCATTAGGCGCGATACTGACTTTCAGCTTTTCGTTTCTTGACACGCGATATAGTAGATATACGATGATATTCTTCTTTTTCCCTTGACTTTCGATCTAAGGGTAGTTTTCTATACCACCTATTTTAAATAAAAACCAACTTATGTATCATTCCATTTCATTCATAACTCATAGTATCATGTTGAATACTTAGGAAAAATCATAATATTAGGTATTTGGGAGGGTCAGATCTGAAATTGGACTTAAATCCATAGATAGCTATGCTTTAATTATTTTTTAAATATGAAAAACACATATATATATATATATATATATATATATTTTTTTTTTCTTCCTCATTTTGAATTTTAGAATTTTGAATATTAAAAAAACATGGCGGCATCTTTTCAAAGTTAATGACGACGAGTATAATTCGCGAGTCCTTGAAGCCTAAGTCTAACCGACTTGCTCCCCGACAATCTTATCCGTTCGAGGAGATAGCGCGCCGCTAATCTGCCGCGGACTTTACACCATTAAAGCTAGCATGTTCAGCCAGCTTCTTCCAGGATCGTAAGTCGCGAAATTCACGAGTTTGATTCGAAGAAATTACGTGGCTCGGTGACGATATTGCACCACATCACGAAATTCGACGATTGCATAATTCATGGCCAAACGGGAAACGGTTGATTTCGAAAAATTTCCTCGTACGAACGATTCATGAAACAACGTGTAAAGTCCGAGTACATACTTGGATTTTATAGACCGAATCTTTATTACTTTAATTAGTTTCATTTCCCCTAATTCGAATGATATAATTATTTTTTCAAGGAAAGTTATCCAGAATATTATACTTATAAATATGATATTGTACGTAATTGATCGATTGAATAAAAGACAAGAATTGAGACGATAATGTTCGCGTTGGGTGTAAGAGAAAAATAATTTACGGAGAGAAAAAAAATATTCCATTCGCGAGAACGTTCGCTGATTTCTCATTTATTTGAAATATTCCTGACGGAATTGCGCTCGATAATCTTGAACGCTGTAAGTAAGTACGTTGTATCGTGCGCGTTGTTATTTCTTGGCCCGATAGCGTATTATAGCACGCGGAGACGCGGTTGTTGAGCTGTTTTTCATAGTTGGCGATCTCGCCGACAGGCGTCGCGTCGCTCGAGTCCCCTTTCGAAAATAACACACGGCCGGTTGACGTCATGTTGTCATGACTGCCTAGCGTCGACACCACCGACGTCGCCTCGATATCGTTCTTACGGTGCTTGAACAACGCAGAAAATTCACATAAATACCAACTCGGTTGTTCCACCGTAGTCGCGAGTTTAGTATATAAAATAAAATTTCCCGACGACGAATCGTGTTAACGATCGTTGTTTTTTCCGTTAGTACCGATGCCCCGTCTCAAGTAAAACGTAGAGATAATATTGCGTAGTTATTTCACGCGTTGACTTTGCTCGAGACGTTTAATTTATCTCTTTCTTTTCTTTTAATACTTGGTTTTGTATTCTTTTCTTTTCCACACAACTTTGAATTAAGTAGATTAAGTAGAACATATTCTTATGTTGGTACGACTGAGTTATTCAACTAACCTCTGAAGGATTATATTTTTAAATACTGTTTTTTATTATTTTTTAGAATTCGTAGTTAAAAAACGGGGTTTGGGTATTCAATCTTATAACCGGCCCCAACATATTCGCATATAGCTTAAGAATGTACGACGCCATACATTGGCTGGTTTTATCTACGGGACTTCAACTGGCTCGAGCACGGGGCTTCGTGTGTGTTCGTTCCTTGGCTGACTAGATAGCTTTGACTGGTGTAGCAAACATTACCTCATCGTCAGGCATAGCCGGATCCACCACAAACCTTCTCTACTTTTGATTCTCCTCCCGCGTTTTCTGTGTTCGCTATTGCTCGTAACGAATCAGAATTGAATTCGCTTCAGATAAAATTATTTGTACAGTTTGGAAGCGACGTTTCATTTGCAGAGTAATTTTTTTTATTAATAGACGACATAGTCGTTCATGCATTGAAATGGCATTAATTCCTTTTGATTTCTCATTTTATATAACCTCTTTATTAATTCTAGATCAACTTCTTACTTTATGTAGAATGAGGTATAAAGGTGATTTTTATCAAATTTTTAGCCTGTATACTGTAGTCTGTTTAGATGAGCTTCACGCGGTGAACATTATCTTATTGCGAGCACAGCCGTCATGAATCTTTTCTAGTTCTAGTAGTACTTCTCTCACGTTCATTCCATTGACCCACATTCGTGACTGTAATCCTGGCTTAAGGGAGAATTTATTTATAAAATCTTTTTTTAACGTTGTTCCTATTATTTTATCTATAAATAGGTTTAAAATATAATGTTCACTATTTCATGACTTACCATTGAAAATAATTAGCATTTTTTAATATGATTTTATGACAAATTTATTTTTAAATATTTAAAATATAGGTAGTAATAATTTTGATCTCAAAAAGTGAGTACTATTTTGGACACGCTTTTATCTTATTAACCTCGAAATAAATCCCCTCTTATAAATTAACTGCGAAATTCTCCGTCAGGTGGCATTCTTGTAGAGGAAATACATAAGTATATACTTAAATACATACACGTTTGAAGCACCACCCAGTGTTTCTTCAAAATATGAGAAACAAAAATTCAAAGTATCAAAAAAATCAGCTGAGATTTAAAAGATTCTCAGATCGAAGGTGCGAGTAGTATAAACAGCAACTCTCGAAGATTTTGCGAAAGGAAAGAGGAAAGGGATAGGCAGGCTTCTTGACTTTGATTTATGGGCAATTAAGAGTCCTGCATTTCTGTCACACACAGCTAATC